ATATAATTAATAATTAATAATTTAATATAACTTTGTTGATAAGTACTAGAAAATGAAAACGGAAAAGGGAAAACAACTTTCAATCGTTTTCTACTTTCTTCACAAAAATCATTCTAATTATTTTTTATTTTTGTTTTCATTTTCAAAAGTTTTATTTAACAAACACGATTTGTAAACCATTTTTTATTTTCGTGTCTCAAAGTACGTGTGGAAATATTTTCAAAAATAATTCCAAATGCACCCCATATTTTTAAAATAGTTATTTAAAATTAAAAATCTTATTTCATTCAAATATTTTTAATAATTATCAAAATATTTAAAAATAACAATAATAAATATTAGTAGAGGAATACTTCTTCTTCTTGAATAAAAGTAATTTATTTTTAAGAATTTTTTAGTTAATAAAATTTTAATATTTTTTTTATATTCTAAATATTGACCATAAAAATAGAAATAAAATTAACTATAAACATATGAGATAAAGTATATCTACTTTTATCGTTATACGTTCAACAATAATATTATATAAAGTTTTTCAAACACCTAAAATTTTACTTCTAGTACTCACAATAGTTTTGTAAAAATATTTACCAAACACCTATATGAAAATTTTCAACAACACAATAATACTAAAATAATCCTAAGACTTTGAATAGTGCTTTGTGAGAGCATAAATAGTAAACTCATTCCTATTTCTAATGTAGTTATAGATATAACTGCTTCTTATCATTGAATAGTGCTTTGTGAGAGCATGGATAGTGTTGCAAAACACAAAAGAATTTATAACAAAATCAATTAGGGAGTCTCTTTAGTAAAACAACAATTCTACTAATAATGTCATTTTATAATCATTAAATTAAGTTAAAATCATAATAAATTAAAAAAATATATAAAATAAATAATTTTAAATGATTAAAATTAAAAAATTATTGATAATTTATTTTTACTCATCTTACAAGAAGCTTACTTTTCAAATAAACATTATTGCTTTCTTTTCAAATAAACAACTGAATTATTGCTCAAACAGCCTGCCCCGCACGTGCAGGTGGCTAAGCTCTCCAACCGTATGTAACAAAGCATTAAAAAAGCCACTTTTAAGGGATGAAAAATAAAAAGGAAAAAAAAAAAAAATTCCTTTGTTTTTCTAAAATTTCGTTACATAATTTAGCTCTTGATTTCCCGAACAAATACAGTTTCTCGAGCCAATAATTACAAAACCCAAAAAGAAAGAAAAAGGGACCTAAGTCTATCATTCTTCAATCCTGTTTAGTCTCTTCAACAGTTTCAGAGGACGAACCAGTCGGATTTTGAGTCTGATCTTTACCCTCTGCTTCCTTTTTACAGTTTCGGGTGTTCTGAGCCGAATTCGAAACCACCAGATTGAAAGAGCCAAACTTGGGCGTGATCTCAGGCGAACAACCGGAGAATTTTGTGTCGAAGCTGAAGGAGAATAAATTGGGATTCGAATTAGGGCCGATCAAAAGTTCTTCGACTTGCTCAAGTGCTTTCGGACAACATCTTCGTTTCTTGGGCTCTCGGGTCGAATCCGGATCTTCTGAAACCGGGTAATCGGCGGCGGTTGGAGTTTGCGAGACATCGCCGGAATCTGGGTTTTCAGAGGCGGACGATGGAAGAGACAGAGTTGTTTGGCTTGTTGGCCCTAAGACGTTCCTAGCAGCCATTTTTGTGAAGGGATTATGCCTACGTTGGAAAAGAGCCTTTTATTTCGGCGGCTTTGTACCGTTGAAATTACCATATAGTCCTCAGAGGACTTAAAATCATTTGTCAAATTCTTTTTGTCCCAAATAGTGTATCTAACTTCCTTAAAAAAAAAAAAAAAAAAGAATAGTGTATCTAACTAAAATTAGGCCCATCTGAATTGAGTTAGTTCCTTTCTGTTTTATAGGTGGACATTGGAATTTTTAAAGTATTGAAGGAGATAGAAAGCAGGATGATACTAATAATTGAAAATTAATTACTTTATACCTCAATTTACGTCCAGCAACTCCGAGAATTTCCACACTGCTGGTCAACTCTTAAGTCATGTCATAGTCCCGATTATGTATTATTTAGAGAGAGGTTTTTTACTCAGATTTTTAGAGGATGTTTAGTTCATGTATTCAGAATTATGATTCAGAATTATTCTTATTTTATGTGTATTTTTTATGAGAGAAAAATACTGTAAAAAATTATAAATCATAATTCAAAATTAAAAACGATTACAAGAAATAAACGTCCCCTTAAATTACTTATAGATTTCTAAGTCTCGCGAAGCATAAATGTTTATTGTTATTATTTTCGAGATGGTTTCTTGGGATGGATTTCCAAATTTTTAGTACATAAATCCAGATGATTTTGCATTTATTTTTGATTCAGTTGCGCCCCGTTTTTGAGACATCTAAAGTTCCCTTTTTCTGTTAGAAAAAAAAACCCCATATTGTGCAATGTTATTTAAAAGTTTTGAAATATTTTTTAACTAATTTATTTCTTGTTTAAATGTTTCAGCCCATTAAATTACATGTCAAAATTTAATTGATTAGACACTAATTGAAAAACTAGTAATTAGACAAGTAATCTAAATCCCTTCTTATATAGGTGTGTTTTTGAACTCTCTTTGAATAAAGAGAAATTTTGAGGAATGTTAAAAAGGAAAAAAAAAATTACTTTTAGATTTATACTATGGTTATTGGTGTTTCAAATTGTGGCATCCATTGCAGTCAAAAGTCACCAAAACATGCCATAAAGCCGAATCAGAAACTGTGACATATTACATAATTTTGTCTTGAAATAAATATGAGACCCTTTTACCTTATGATCAGTCAAATTTAGTTATGTTGTGCAACACTTTTTGAGATATTGTACGATGGTAGATAAAATAAAATAAAATAAATTGAACCATAGAAATTTTTTGTTGTTGTGTAGCACCAAACAAAAAAAGTTCATTTTTAATACCACTATCGTTTCTTTTATCATCCAACGTTCGTAAACTATCATAGTTCTGTTTTTATTTTTTGATTTATTTTTAAAAGGGTCGTCTAATAGTTTTTTTTTTTTTTTTTTGTTATTTGTTTTATTTTGTTTTGAAAAGGGTCCTTGGTATTTATATACAAGTGTTGTGGGATTTAAGGGGAAATAAGAGTCACTTTCATGTTGCATGTTACCATGTGGATAAGGTGATGGTTGTTAAACATTTCCATGCCAAGTCATTTGAGATTTATTTAAGGTTCTGCTTTGGTTTGCTTCGGTCCTCGTCACAAACAGATGAGGGCAGGGAACCTTTAGGGCCCGTTCTTATTGCGAATCAAATTTTGATGTTTCGGATAAAGTTTTTAATTTGAGTTAAATTTGAAGTGATATTATCTTATAATTTGGAGTTAGTGTTTGGATATGCACATTTGAAATACAATGTTAATTGAAAATCTTATTTGAGTGTGTGTTTAAATGGGTCAAAACTTTATACTAAGTTTGGATAATATTCTTATAAAAACTCAATGATGATAGTAAATTTTTATAGGGTATATGAACGAGTACTATTATAACAAGGATATTTATGTTTTTTTTTATAACAAAATTATTCATTTAGGAATTACAGATTCAAATTTTGGAGCCTATCTTTCCCATTACGAGATAGCTTTTTTTTCCCCCCCGAGAAAAATACATAATTTGTCATGGTTTTGTGGAAGCTTATTTTTTATGTCATTCTTCATAAGTAGGTGCCATTTTCACCTTTGTTTTCTATTTATTAATTGAATGCCAATTCTTTCTTTTTGAGCAGAGTGACATACGTAATATTTTTTTTCCCAAGTGAGGGATTCAAACTTTATACGATACTAGATGGTCTCCATGTGTTATGCACGTGGAGAGTAATCGTGTGTGTTAAGCTTTAACTACTGTGTCATTATTAAAAATCATATAACATATGAATAAAAAATATGAAAAAGGAACCAAAATGAAAAAAAGTAAAGTCTCAGGGCAAGAAGCCAAAAAAAGAGTAACAGAGGAGTAAAATGAAGAAATAAATAAATTTTATGGCAAAAGGGACCAAAATGAAAAAAAAAGAAGATAAAGTTTTAGTGCAAAAAATAGGAAAAAGGGTAAAAAAGGACTACAATGAAGAAATAAATAAGTTTTAAGGCAAAAGGAACCAAAATGAAAGAAAAATTAAATTTCAGGACAAAATATAAAAAAATTGTTGAAAAAGGACTAAAATGAATAAATAAATAAATTTTAGGGCACCAGTAAAAAAATATCTAAGTAGGATACCATCCGTAAAAAAAATTAATTTGTGTAAATGAAAGAAGAAAAGTTAAAAGTAAGGGCAAGAACCAAAAATATAAAATTTTGAAGGAAAAAAGTTAAAGAAAAAGAGAAGATGGAAAAGAAAAAAACCATCAAAGGAAAAAAAAAAAAAAACTCACAAAAGGACAAAATAGAGATACCAAAGTTTGAAAAATCTTTTTGTATCTACATGAATAGCAAATGTATTCCCTTTTCTTATATTGAGTTATATAAATATAGAATATTTAAGGAATTCAGATACCAAACAAGCATGTTGCTAATTTGGGTTTTAACTATTTGCCGTATCATTAAAGTAAGACATGTTAGTAAGGGTGACTTATAAAGTTAATATACATGCACGCATGCATACATACATATATATATGTGTGTGTGTATATAATGTTTGTAATCTGCATTTGATGAAAGAGGAATGCGCCTTTTATCCCAAATGGTTTGCTTATTACATACCAAACAGATAATTAACCTGGAAACATAAAATGTCTCCCCTCTATAGGAGAATATATAGACATAGATAATTCTATGAAGATAATATGTACAGCCGCATTAAGAATTCTGACATTCCGGGAGCAAAGCCTTATGCAACAACAGTTTTTGTTAGAGAGAGGGTAAGAATGGAAAGGATGGCATTGTACCAATCACTAGTCCACCAATGCCCTGTGGCATTTATCTACAAGCCTACACACTAAGGTCATTTTGGAAATAATGTACATCATTCAATACATACATCAAACTTTACCATTCATATTTGGATTGATTTCAATCTTCTTCCGTCTTAATAAACATCTCTCAGAACTTGCAAGAGGTTCCCAACCTCTGCTTCTGCCTCAAGAATTTTGTCCTCTCAAGCACCTCGGGCAAAAACTTCTCGAAGTTCTTCAAGAACAGTTCCCATTCATCTTCGGTCATGTCTCCAAAAGAGATGGCCCAGGTTTCATAATTATGATTGTGACCTGAGGAACTCTTACTCCTCGTCAAACCCGACACCTTATGGTTAACATCGCTATTGCCATCATCACTACCATTGTTGCCCTCTCTTGCCTTAATACTATAACCATCATTATCGGGGTTATTTTCCTGATACAGTGGAGACAGCATTGAATCAGGCAGCCTGGTGATGGATCCTGCAGATTTTGAAATTGTTAGCACCTTTTGGGGCTTAGATATCGGTGGATTGCCTGGTGGGACTTGAGGAATATCCACAGCATCAATGCAGCAAGTATCTTCACTTCCACTGTTGATTTGATAGACTCCAAGTTCTTCTGTTAATCTCTTGTCTTCATTGCCATCAAATGTGCTACGAATAGAAGCCTTGGCTTTCGCACAGACATTCTGCAATGCACTTGGTTTCTCCTCCCCAGCATGAAACTCCCTAGACATCATTTCACCTATCGCAGCAAGGCAAAGCCCAGAGGCAACAGCTTGCTTCAAAAATATGGTGCATAGCACAAGAACACGGATACAAGCCTCCCTCAAAGATGGAATCTCAGTTCTTAGAAGCTCTGCATCTTTAAAAGGGTCAAGATTTGATATATAGGCAACTTCAGATTCAGAAAATGGAACTGAGGCCTGTGGCCAGTGCAGCCACTCGAAATATGGATCGTCAAGCCACTCAGGTAGGCATAGCCCATGGTCAATAGGAACCAACTCTGCAGCTCCAACAGCATAGCCGTTGCGCTCATGTTTCTTAACTAGTATATTCCCTGCGTGCCTATCGAGATTTAGAAGTCTGATGTCCAAAAGCCCAATCTGATGAACTGAGGCAACTGAGAATCCTGAGGGGCCCAATTCTCCTGCATCATAGTCATGGTCTATGAAACGTTGCAGAGACGCAATCTTATAGGGTGTAGATGAGATTGTTGCAGCATTATTAAGATGAAACGGAACATGAGAGATCTTGACCAAAGCTGAAGGAGGAACACCAGCAAACCCACCATGGTCAAGGAGATATGCAGCCAACTCTCGGATACCAGTTTCACCTATCCGAACTGAGCGTTTTATACCAGGTTGGCCAAGCATGAGACCCCCAAATCCTTTTGGGTTGTTCACGGCTAAGGGTTCTTCATCTATGGGCTTTGTCACAGCGATGTTGTCCCCACTTTGGCTACGTAAAAGATAAGCACCACCAAGCCCACTGGACACGGGTAGAGGATCAACACCAGAGGCAATAGCCATGGCAACTTCGACCACAAGAGCACGTACTCTTGGGGCCTTGTAGCCACCGACAATCTCAATTCTTGGGTTGGTCTCAAATTCGTCCTCAAGTGTAGTGGTTAGGGATAGGCATGGAGTGGACAAACTTCGATGAAAATTAGCAACTTCACATGCGTGTTTCAATGAGTGGGAAAATTTAGTGTGGCCAAGTTCAAGGATGTTGTGGTCAAGGTGAGAGTAAGACAGGAGTCTGCATCTCTGGAATCGTTTGTAAAGCTTGAATTCATGATGTTGATCAACTGCCACAGCCATTTTATAATTTCTCATGCAGTTGGCTTTGACAGTGCATGCCAAAAGCAGTTTTTCTCAGCGAATTACCTGAGGATTACTCTTCCCTGGGATATTAGGCATCATATATCTGCACGTAACCAGATTGCACATTTAGAAGGCAAAAAACTCAACAATGCGATGATGAATGATGAGAAAATGCGATGATTTCATAATTAAAAGAAAAGGAACTCTCTCCTCGCAATATGATAGTTGTCTTTAGTTGAATGATTATTTGTTACATGATGCATAGGCCACACATGAATTGCTCATATTTTCTCAATGGACCAAGGTGTTAGGAATCAATTCTTCCGGGTTAAATCAAATTGCAAGAAGAAATTTGTGTGTTCTCATTCCAGGTTAAATTAAGTTACCAAAAGCAATATATTGCTGTGAGAAGGCACGAATCCACATGTATGGTTTCAATTTAGCAACAGAGAGTTAGCGTGATTTTGATTGTAAAAAACAACTACAGAGAGTGCAGAAAAGTTGGGGCTTATAAAAGATTAGCTAAAGATCTGTTCAAATTTCAAAAGGTTAAGGGACTAACTTGGAATGAGAAAGAGAAATCAATCACAAAAATCTGGAGATGTCAAGAAGAAATGCTATATAAGCATTTACGAACTACAAGATCCAAAAAAAAAAAAAAAGAAAGAAAGAGGAAAGACAAAGGAAAAACGAATGTTAAACTGCCAGACTGAATAGTGAAATGGGATGACACCATTGAGAGGAAGAGCTTTGATTATTTTCACAAATGCAACATCTTAATTCAAGAAAAAAAAAAATCTGTTAGAAACGTAAGATTTCAATTTGGAAATGACCATTCAGTTAAACAAATTAAACTACCATCTTTTGCACTGTCTGCATAATTATATTGAGACAAGATGCTGTTGGTGTCTTTAATCCTAAAAATACTCATTCCTTGTCAGTATGCTATATATGGGTTACTTTCAGTTCACATATAAAAAGGACTTCCTATGATGCTCACTCCTATCATCTATAAGCTTCCTAATTTGTCATCCTAAAACCACCTTGTTAAAAAATTTAGCACAATGTCACAAAATTGTCTGATAGAACAATACCCTTTACTGTGCATGGAATCCATCAAACTACTTCTGAATTTGAGCACCAAATTGTGGCCAACTTTAAGATGATAAACTAATCAAAATTCTTCGGATAAAAAAAAATCAAAATTCTTTTAAACGATATGCAAGAAGAATTAGATGTGGTTTGGTGGTGATGAACACATCATAGGTCTGTTTATGGCTTTCGATGTTTTGAAACTCCAAGTAAAAAATCTGGTACCCAAAAGACTTGAAAATTAAGAATCTTAAACGTCCAATTTGGTGTTAAAGGACAAACTTTCAAAGTTCAAGAGAGGAACAATATATCAAGGATCATGTAACAACATTAGCCAAGGAAAAATATTCTATTATCTTACCGAATATTGTTGTTACAGAGAGGGCAAAAATCAAATCCTGTACTCATTTCTTTGATTGGCGACCGACCTCCAAATATATTGGCAAACTTCTACCCCTTTTGCTTCAATCCATCATAGCCTGAATGGAAGAATTATACACCCAGAAACTCAAATTAAAAAGCACAAAAAAAAAAGAGAAAAGATTGAAGACCATAATATCCTTGCACCTAACTGAACTCGTACATACATAAATAGTAAAGAAGCCATACATGCTCAAACAATAAACATGCATAATAAAAAAAGTTTTTCTTTTCGAAAATCCGTTAATGATTCAAATTTACAATGTTGCAATCCAATATTTCATTTTCCATGAAATCTGTTTTCTTCACCATCTTAGAAAATTTTGTCTTTTGCGACACATAACACCACCAAATCACCTATGTCTAAAATAAATCCCACATTTTTCAGCATTTTCATCTTTTCCTCATCAGACAATAAATTCCCAACAACACAACAACACAAAATCTCCAATGTGGGCATCCCAACATTTGATTTCTTATGAACACTATATTAAACACGTTTTATCGAGCCATTTGTGAAACTGACATATCAAATCAACAATGCATAAATAATGTCGGAATCCCACGTTTTATTTCCCATAAATTTGCTTCGTTCAACAAAACCTCTTTTCTTTTCTTTTTTTTTTTTTTTTTTTTTTTTTTTTTTAAAAAAAAAAAAACCCATTAAAGCAAAATTTTCCAGAATTTCATTTTCCTTGAAATCCTTGAAAAGTGTTACACAAAAAGAAACAGACAAATTAAACCCATCAGAGAAAGATAAAAGAAGAGATTACCCTAAAAACTGGGAAAGGAATTCAGGGAGACGAACAGCAAAAAGGGAGGGAGAAAGAGATAGAGAGAGAAAGAACAGTTGGCGTCAACCAAAATCGTGTTATTCCTCTCAAAGGTTTCTTCCACACCCCCGCAAACTGAACAAACCCTCCTTTCTCCTTTCACTTTCCCACCTTTTTTCTTTCCCTTTCTCGGTAAAATTCAGAAAAAAGGATGGTAGTTGATGGCCGTTGGTTGGATCCACTCCAAGGTCCCCGATCCTTCCCATTTTGACTCCTATTTTTGCTGCGAAAGCGCAACAGTTTCTTTTCTTTTATTGGGCCAGGTCTCCGGTTATGCAGGACTCAGTGCAGGCTGGCATTTGCTGGATTTTGTGACGATCGTTATTTCATAACTGTTTCTATTCAACTTCTTTAAAAAAAAAAAATGTATTCAAGAGTGAATTAATTAATTTTCTCATTCTTTTTTTTAAGAAGAAAATTTCTTTTTGTCCCTATAAAATTTATTTTTATAGACACAAAAAGATGACTTTACATGGTGGGACTCATATAGACTCTATGAGTCCACTTTTGTATTTGATGAGAATAAATTTATATTGAGACAAATAGGACTGTTCTTTTTAGGAATGAAAATATCCAATAGAATTTCTTGTCAAAATTGGAGCACAAGGTGTGTGTCTGTATATTTCTAGCATTATAAGGACGCGTTTACTTTGAAACAAAGAGAAATAAAGTAATTCTCTTTCTTATTTAATAATATATTTATTTATAAAATTAATAATAAATTTTTAGTAGGTCCCACATAATATAGAAATTTTCCCTTTGGTATTGATTTTTTTGTCAAAGGTAATGAATGCCTAATTTACTAATGCAACCTTAATGAATAATCTAGTCAATGATTAGTTAATCATGTAAAATGACTTTTTAGTGATTCTAATAATATTGCTAATTATTTGTTTTTAGTAAACACTAAAAAAAAGAGTGATATTGTTTCCCCTTACATCATTAAATAGTCAAATAAACACTTAAAAGGAAAATCAATAACCTTAATTCTAATACTTTACTTTACTTTTCAGTCTCATTAACTTTTGCCATTATGTTCTTTTAAGATTTAGTAAATGTGCCTTAAAAGTATGATTAGTTTGATTTTGTTGTATTTTATTACAGCATTCTTAATGCAGTGAAAATTAGTGTGTTTAATATTAAATTTTCACATTTGAGTACTCACAATAATATGCCAAATTAGTGCAGATAGCATATGTAAATAGCATGTGTCAAAGTTGCATTTGATTGTGATTATTTGATTATTCACTTTTTTATTTAATCATTACCATAATAATATTGTCATATTATAATCAAAGGGTGACTATATTTATACACTCCTTTTTTTCTCTCTGTAACCCCTTTTTGATAAAATTTTCTTACCATAAAGAAACCCGCACACAAATGACAACAAAAAGATAATGGTGACAGACTTAGTTACGTATAAAAAGGAAACTAATGGTAGGTTTTTTTTCTCTCTCACCTCAGATCTCATATCCTAAATTGTAAAAACTATTACTATTTTCAAATAATAAAAGTGCATGTTTAGTTCGTTAATTTGAATTGTATTAATTTGAACTATTTTTATTTGAACATAAAAATCTGAACAATGTGGTTTAAACAGTATTCGAATTGACATTTGAATGTGCAGCATAACTTTTAATCTGAACATGGAATAAAATCTGAATTAGTGTTTAGATGAGTCCTAAGAACTATAGTTTGAACTGAACTGGCATTTTAATGCCTTAAAGCAACTCATTTGAACTGAGTTCTTTTTTTCCTAATTAATAAATTAAATTTTTTAAATTTGATAATAATAAAAAAAATTTAAAAAATTTATAGGCAAATGAAATTAAAATCTGCCCAAAAATATATTAAAAATAAAAATAAATAAATGTAATTAATTTTTTTGTGAACGTTTTTAATAATTATTTGGAACACACTAACAATGCCTAATTAGTAGGACCAAAAAAAATATGGCAAATTAATACCATACAAGCTGAACTATGGGCAAAATAGTAGCAAATTCAGGGAAAAAATGTGGAGCACATATATCACATGTAATAATAATTGGATTATAAATTATAGCATTGAAAATAATAGCACAATGCCGGCGGCAGCAAACGCCGTATTCGGATAGCATATCGCCGGCGGCAAAGAAGAGTGCCGCTGGCCAGTTTTCTTGAATCCTAAAACTCATTATATGCTGCATCCTATATATACACACATATAAACTGAAACCATCCATAAGAAACGACAACAAAATTCTAGTATCCTTACTTATATATGTATATATAATATGGAGGCAGAGCAAATATCAAAGAGAAAGAAAAATTTATGTGTGTAACCGTTATATGAACACGCTCATATGTATAACTGAAACTATATTCACTCAAGGCCGTAAATCCGTATGTCCGAAAGCATCAACCAAAAAATTAGAAAAGAATTTCTCTTAATGACTTAAAATGGGTTGCTTTAATACCACTTGATAGAAATAAATTCTTTATTGATGTAATCCTTAATCACACCAAGATCTACCATGTTAAATCATCAAGAAGAATAGACTTAAGCGGAAGCGTACCTGAATCTATAAGAACGGATTGTTTCTTGAATATTGTGGTTTTTGATCAATCTTTGTTCTTGATCTTCTAAATTATTCAGTATGCCTTGAGAAAGAATTCTCACTTTTCTAATGATGGGATGTCAGAAAAGTTTCATATATATAATTTAGAGACCACAACCATTTTTATAGAAGTTAACTTTTCATTATTTCTAATTTGACCCATTATAAAATAAGAAATAACGATTTGGTCTCTACACATATTAGGCCTACACTTATTAGATGCATTAAAGCCCAAATTACCTAAAACTTTATTTGATCATTTTAAATAGGCTTAACTTAATATGATAGCATATAATATACAATCATTATTATATATGTATCTATGCACGTCCAAAATCTAACAACGAATAAATATGAGTACTTTAGATACATTTTACAAATTGTAAATATATCAGTTACGAGAGAATGAAAAAGGTGAATGCCAATATATATACACTTTTCTTGATTTAAAGGAAATGGATGTCAAATTTACGTTAAATACCTTTAATTAATTTACAAGTCATGAGTCGATTATTTAATTAATTATGTAAAAGGATATTAATAACACTAAGAAGGAAATTGGATATTTGTTAAAAAAAAGAGTAAAGACATAAAGAAAAAAAAATGGAATTAGATTATTTAATCTCATTCCAATGTTTAAACATAAACACTAAAAACTTTATTCTTATTCATTTACGTATATTTTTTTTTTCAAAACTTTACATTTTTTAGTTTAGTTGCATTTGTGAGTTGCATTCTTAAACACTAAAATATAATAATATGGTTTGAAAAAAATGGCTTTACACTTCAGATGTTTAATCATAAAAGAGGGCCTCAACGGGAAGGGATTGCTTTAGTATTCAAAAAGGAAAATCCTCTTTCTCTTTACAATATTGACAGAATCGCTCTCAGAATATGGGACTTTGACTTTTTCTAATCATGCTTCATGCAGTAACATCATAAGGATTGGAGTGGACATTTTCAAAACAATGCAACCGAAAAGCTTTATTTGACAATTTTGTTGGAACATAGTTTGTGCGGGTAAGAACAAAATTAATTAAAGCATGTTTCTAAGCATGTGCCTCACGTGACAAATAAAAAAGTTTTATTAGTAAAATAATTTTTTAAAATTTTTTATTTGTAAAATGACTACGGAATGATTAAAAACAATCAATTTTTATAAAAAAAGACCGGCCAGTCATTCTTTATAAAAATGAAAAAGGTCATTTTACTTCACTTTATAGGATAGTCGTTCTAGTCAATTTCTCGCCTTATGGCAATAAAAAAACTAAACATAATGTTTATTATTTCACTCGTTAACTACGTCCTTTGATATTGTCAATTTTATGACAACTTAATTCTTCAACTTAGAGATTAAGTTGCATGGTTTAAACTGTATATGGCTTAGGTAGAAAATTACCACACATGACACGGAGTTGGTGAACAAAACAGATACGGTATAAAGATACACGCATATATATATATATAGACAATTAGATATCACTTCTCTTTAATTTATACCTATAAATTAGGTAACAAATAATTATATCCATAAATTGAAATTTACTCGAGTTTAGTTTGCTGTATCTTATTCTAAAATTTTTTAGATGCCTAGATTTTTTGATCAAGTCATACGCTTATTTTATAGGTCCCAACATTACCAAAAATGTAGGCTTGAAAAAAAATAAATTATAAAATTAAGTGTCGCCTCGTGCTTGACGGCCCCTATAATTCGCTGAGGCGTAAAACATTAAGCAGTTGACCCCTAATCTTTCAAGTGGCGGCCGGCTAATTAGGCGTTATTCACTAGAAGAAATGCATTTGCTTTTGTATATGAAGAGACTTTAAAAAGACCGATTACTGGTGTTTTGAGAGTATAAATAATAATCTAAAAGAAAAGTGTTGAGTGATACGTATAGCAAAAAGGAAAATGATGAGACTCTCATCATGAGAGCCTGTCAGAGCCAATTAAGAGGCATGGAAATTGGGGTTTCACTTCAAATCCGAGATACCCACAAATAATTAATTGCTTAGTTTGCCAACACTACATAATATATATAACACTCTCAGACTTGGATCCATGTAGCTATATCAGCCCAAATAAAATTGTTCTCGTTCTCGTTGCACCATTTGACTCTTGCTAATCTCTCTTAATAACTTATCTAGGAGGCTAACACTAATTGTTTGCTCTGAAGTAAAGATATCCATGGAGGGATACGTCCTTGCAGATATTCATGACTTTAACCTACTTGTCTAGTGAAAACTATCAACTTTTGTTTGATTTTAGGTGACAAAAATAATTTTGATGATGCCTTAGATATGTACATGCTTTTATGTACACATTTGTTTTTTGATTGAAAAGGATAAACTAGGTGTGTGTACATTAAGAGTATGTTTGGTATCAATTCCGTTTTCATTTTTCACGTTTTTCGAGATAAAAAAGTAGAGATTGTGGAGGAAAACGCGTTTAGAGAAAAAAAGTGAAAAAAATGAAAACAAAAATGATTTTTGGTTTAGTGTAAAATGACTTAAAAACTGAAAACGAATTTAAGTTGTTTTTCATTTTCAATTTTGGGTGGATGCCTTTTTTTTTTTTTTTGGTAAGTAGGTGTGAGCTAAAATGAACTAACAAAGTGCTTTTAAATTAAAAATAAAAATTATATAACCCAACAGAGTTTTAGTTTTTTCTTATAC